CATGCTCTGCCCTCTCTCCACGTGCTGGATTGACTCCAAGAACTTTCATCTTACTCATGCAGGGCCTCTTGTACCTGTCCCTCCCTGCCACCTCTACCCCCACTGCCCTAGTTCAGATCCCCATTAGCCCATCCATCTATCCATCGATTTGTCTGTCCATCTGTCCAGCCATCCATCCACCCACCCATCCATCCGCATGACAGACATTGACTGGTACCAGCCAAGTGTCTGGCATTCGCCAGGCTCCAGTAAACTGTGGTGAAACAAACAGGCCTGACCTTGTCCTCCCTTTCCAGGTCTTCCTGGGACCTGGCTTACCTGGCCGAAGCCCCACCTGTCCCCCACGCTCCACCCTGAAGGAAAGCCATCTCCTCCCCTCCCGCCCTCACATTTGCTACCCACGCTACTCTCCCCGCACACCTGCCCTCCCTCCACCTCTACCCCTCCCCCCCCCACACACCTAATAATCTCTTAAGTGGGATAATAATGAATCACACCTGTCTGGCTTTGTTCTTGACAAAGCACTTCCTCATTTTACCACTCAGAGGATCCTATAAGACAGGCGGGACAGAGGGTGTCATTTCCGTTTTACTCGTGGGGAAACAGGGTCCAGAGGAGGCGTGACTTTCCCAGGGTGACACAGCTAGTGAGCGGCGGCCTGGGAATGGGACTCGGGGCGCGAGCTCCGAGCTCCGGGGGGCTCTGCAGCCTGCCGCGAAGAGGTGACCAGCGGAGGGGACCAGGGACGGGAGCAACGCCGGATGTGCCAGGAGGAGCCGGAGGAAGCGGGGCCGTCTCGTCGGCTGGGCAGCGCTGCCTTCAGCGCCCCTTCTCTCTTTTGTTTCTTTGATGCGACCCCCAGGCCTATGACCGGTCCTAAGGCAGAGGCGAGGAGGCCTCCAGGTAGGCAAATCAGATTCATATTTAACTCTGAGCCCGAGGCTCCGGCTAGTGTGTCCCGCTAGACCCCTGACCCTTTGTTTCCATTATCGTAGACGCTCAAAGCTGGGAGGGACGTCTGAGGTCCACTCTGACATTTTACTGATGAGGGGACAGGGGCCCAGAGATGCACAGAGGTTGGCTGCAGTCACATGAAGTGAGCAGCAGACGCGCATTTGACTTCGGCTGTCCCCAGCCCCGTTTAGTGCTCCCCTGGCAGCCAGCGTGGTTGTCATACGGCGCGCACAGGGGCGGGCTGGCCCAGGAGCGAAGGGAGCATGGCGGTCAGCGAGAGTCCCTCAGAGTTGTCACAGGACAGCACTTCTCAGGGTCCCTGGGTTCTCTCCAGAGTGACCTTGAGTCTAATAACATGGGCACCACAATCACTTCCCTTGAGTGAAATTCACATTATCCGGCGACACACATTATCCCAAATACCTGTTAGGAGGTGGGCTTAATTATTGCCATCTTACGAACGGCCCCGTGAGGGAGTCTGAGGGTCAGGCTCAAAGGCAGTCCTGCCTATGAAGTCCAGGACGCCCGCCCCACCCTGGAGGTGGACTCACCTTGATGTGCAGATGGATGTCCGCATCACAGGGCCGCAGGCTGCAGAGGCGGCTCTCCTGTTCCGGCCAGCAGCGGGTGTTGACGTTGGAGACCCGTGTGGAGATCCCCAGGCCGCAGCTGGTGGAACAGGGGCTCCACGGGCTGGTGTAGGCGAGGCAGTTCCTAGGCCAGGCCTCCGCCTCGCCCACGGCCGCTGCAGATGGGACAGATTTCCCGTGAGTCTCCAGCCTCCGCAACGCGCTCCCCGCTCCCCGACATCACCTCACAAGGGTTGGCGGCCCTGAACTTCAGCGAGGAGACAGCTGGCGAGTTGGCTTCTAACCAGCATGGGCCCCCGGGGACAGAGGGACTTGTTCTGAGCTCCTTATTCTTCTTTGGAGGGAAAAGTAGCTCTAGAGACAGGTGGACCTGAATTCAAATCCTTCTCAAACCTGCAAACTGTGTGACCTTGGGCCACGCAGTCTGGACTCAAGTCTCCTCGTTGGAACAAGAACTTCTACCTCGTGGGGCTGGTTATGACAATAAAGGTGTCTAGATGGTGAGTGTGTGTCAGACATGTCAGGTGCTGGGATTAAAAGCTACAAGACACTGTTCCTGCCCTTGCAGAGGTTAAGTTTGCTTGGGGGGAGGTCAAAGGGGAGTGTCTACACCCTGGGACCTGGTATTTCATCTGGGTGATGCTGAGGGCACAGTGGGTATGGGGACACACAGGTTTCACAGTCAGGTTGGCTGGGTTCAACTCTGAAGCATGGCTGCCTGCAAGTGGGGTTGACGGTAGTGTCTCTCTCCCAGGGCTGTGGGTAGAAAAGATGGGTTCTCACACGTGACAGTGCTCGAGCTGTCCCTGCCCTTACTGAGCCCTCAGGAGACGAGAGCTTGTGGGGTTTCCTGACTGTCGGCCAACTACACGCCAACTCTCCGATGGTTCTAGTAACGTGTATGTCCCTACAGTGCAGTGAGTGCGCTGTAACTCTCTGAGAAATGGACAACGGAGGAAGCTCAGGATGGAGACAGGTGAGAAGCGAGGGACACAAAGGAGCGATCCCACAGGTAAATGGAACGATGCACAGGAGAGGAAGCCGCCCTGACCCCCACGCAGCAGCGGCTGCCGGAAGTCAGGGGGCGGGGAAATAGGCAGAAGGGGAGGGGCGGAGACAGACGGGAAAGACGGGAAGAGGGAGGGGGAGGGAAGTGATAAAAAAATGGGAGGAGAAGAAAAAAGGGGAAAAGAGAGAAAACGGAAAGAAAAAAACATCGATACGTTCAGGAGAAAGAGAAAGGAGAAGAGTGGGTTCTCGATACCCAGCTCCTCCAGGTTAACAGCTGCGCAGGGAACACTGATGAACGAATGAACGAATGAATGAATGAGGGAATGCATCAGAGAGAACAAGAGGTCTGCGAGACAGAAGGGAAAAAGGAGCGGCCTCTGAGGCCGGAGGAGGGACCCGGCTGGGATGCGCTGTGGGGCGTGAGGTGCCGGGGAGGGATTTGCCTAGGAGGATAAAAGGGCTTTGGTTTCTGGGTCACTTGCTAGGCGGGCAGGGGCTCTGCTTGTGTTCGGTCAGAACGGGGTCACTGGGCCACACACAATGGGCAGACAGCTGTTGGGTGTCCCCCACCCCGTGACCCTCTTGTGGCTCTGCCACGGGCCTGCTAGGGACAGAGCTCTCCCTACCGCCTCCTCCATCGACAGGGACTGCTTCTTCATGAGGCTAGCTTGGTCCCTGTGGGGCGCCCCAAGCCCCACCCAGAGAGGCTGTGCATCCCTGAACCAGGGGAGGGGCGGGAGGGTCCTGGGAGCCACCCTGG